TCAAAAAAAAATGAAGAAGGGGTAAACCAAAAAAGGTGAATTAAAAAATTCTAATCTGTCGATAAGATAATATTCACGAAGCGGAATATAAAAAAGTATCACATCTAAAAAAGTGATACAAAACCTCCTCCTAAAATCGAGACCTAAAAAAGGGAAACCTATCATCCCACCAACAAATCCCTGTGAAGATGAGAAAGCGTAAAAAATTTTTTGGGGTCCCCAAAAAATGTGAACCTGGGAGAAAAGAGGAGAAAAATTTCAATTAAGTTTATAACGGCCCAAAACATCAATGATTTGGGCAACAATGGAATTATAGAGCAATAACGGGGGGGGGGGAAATTTTGGACATAAAACACCGGGTAAATAAAGGAGTATAGACTGGATTCAAATCGATCCATGGGACCGGGGAAGTAATAGTCCCCATTGTGAACTTGGGAAAGGGCTGACATAGTAAAGCCAAAAATTGGGGAGACCTGGGGCCTCCGCCCATTGGGACCGGTCAATAGAGGTGAGAGGCGTTGACACACATGGTTGCGCAAGTTATCCAGGCAAATAATTTTGAGCTATCAGGGGGTAGAGGTTTAATACCTAGGTATGAAATCCTGATCTGTGTGCCCCAACGAAATGAAAAAGAATTTTGCGGAGAGATGCACCCAGGGAATCAGGAACATTAATAGGCAGAACTACTGATTTAGTAAAATTTACAGTAAGACCTGATACTGTTACAAAGTCATTCAATAATGAGCAGAAGTCAGGCAATGACACCAACAGTTTAGTAAGGAAAAGCATAACATCATCTGCATACATACAAATTGTGAAATGTGAACCAATAATGGGGAACCAGAAATGTCTGAGTGTGATTATTGCAATTGCCAAGGGTTCCAAAACAAGCGCGCCAATAATAAGGGTGAAAGAGGACAACCCTGACGGGTACCTCCGCCTAGTGTACAAAATATACAGAATTGCAGCCTGGAAGTCTTATTCTTGTTTTGGGGGGAGTCATACAAAGCATGTACACCAGACAGAAATTCATCACTAAAGCCCATCTTCTGCAGTAATGAAAACAAGTATGGCCAGAGGACACTATCAAAGGCCTTGTTAATGTCCCGGCTCAGCAACAAAAACTTCTTTAGAATGCAAATTGACATCCTGAATAACATTTAATGTGAGAGGATATATTGTCCGTGATAAGTCTGCCTGGGATAAATCCGATTGGTCCGGTGAGACCAAAGAGGAGATAATGGAGGGGGCCAACCTATCTGCCAGAATGTGGCTAAATATTTTCAGATCATTGTTCATCACTGAGATTGGTCTATAGTTTTGAGGCAAATGATGGTCTTTCAGGGGTTTAGGTAATAGAGACAGTTAGCCAAGAGTATCTCCTCAGGAAACCTACCGCCCTGCAAAACATCATTGAATAATGACATCAAAGAGGGAGCCAATGTAGGAGGAAAATGTTTATAATAACTGGCCGTGAACCCATCAGGGCCGGTTCTGTGGAAGTTCTGAGTGCGCTAATCACACAGGATATTTCCTTCAAAGTGCATGGGGCATTGGGAGAGGATATCTGAGAGGGTGTGAGAACAGGGAGGGGTATAGAATCAAGCCATGAGCCATTTGAGGAAGCAGAAGTTGGTTGCGGGCGAGCTAACAGGGTGGAATAAAAATTTTCAAAAATACCCAGGACTTCACGAGGAAGAGAGGAGATACTGCCGGATTTAGTACGTAACTTGTAGATATGTGGGGGTCATATTGAAAAGGTTTAATTTCTGTGCCAACATAGTAGACGCTGAATTACTATGTAAATAAAAAGGAGGCCTTCGACCAGCGTAGAGCTTTTTTAGTTTTCTGGGAAAGTAAAGTATTCAGTTCTAGACACTTTTGCGATATCATGGTTTTGTTTTTGGAGAGATGGATTGCCATCATGAGCCCTATAATGTGCTTCTAATTCTCGGGTAAGTTTCTGAATTTGTTTCCACCGCTCTCTATTTCTAGAAGAAGCCATAGAAATAAGGTGGCCTCGCAGGAACGCCTTATGGGCTACCCACAAGATGGCCGGGGAGATATCAGGAGTTGTGTTTGACTGAAAGTATTCTTGAATGGAAGTAACTACGTCATGGCGGGTGTTAGTATCCATAAGCATAGAGTCGTTAAGTCTCCTGGAGTAGGGAGTAGGGGCTAGACCTATAAAAGTGATAGACAGCGCGATAAATATTATGATTAGAGATGAGCGAAATATTCAAAAAATTCGATTCGACTGATTCGGCGAATTCGTGGAAAATATTCGATTCGAGTCGAATATATTCGCTGTGAATTTAACTTAAAAAAGGGTGTTTCTAGGCTTCAGAGAGACTTAATATTAGTGCAGAACACTGTACCTTTAATTTAAATGCCCTTGGAGTCTGCTGGGGAAGAGAAATAATACTGTCAGTCAGTATGACATGCAGATGAGTGCCGTCGATCTTAGAATCACTGCACACTTCACTCATTTGGCCAGTCACGGGGCCAAAACCAGTGTTTGGAGCCACAGTGTGGCGGTGGAGGCAGCAGCAATGGGAGGCCATACAGCAACCTATGACAAAATGGAAACCAGCAGGAGTGTGAGGAGACCTCAAAGTGGCACATGGCAGAGTGGGAGCAATGGGAGGCGGTACAGGGACCCATGTCACACTGTGGACCCAGCAGCAGCGTGACGAGGCGGTACGGGGGCCCATGGCAGATTTGGGGCCTGGCAGCACCTATGGGAGGCCTGTAATCTGCCAGCAACCTATGACAAAATGGAAACCAGCAGGAGTGTGAGGAGACCTGAAAGGGGCACATGGCAGAGTGTGGCGATGGAGACAGCAGCAATGGGAGGCCGTACAGGGACCCATGAGAGACTCTGGACCTGGCAGCAGCATGAGGAGGCGGTATATAGGGGGCCCATGGCAGATTAGGGGCCTGGCAGCAGCTATAGGAGGCCCGTAATCTGCCAGCACTCTATGACAAAAAATGGAACACACCAGCAGTGTGAGGAGACCTGAAAGTGGCACATGGCAGAGTGTGGCGATGGAGACAGCAGCAATGGGAGGCCGTACAGGGACCCATGAGAGACTCTGGACTTGGCAGCAGCATGAGGAGGCGGTATAGGGGCCCATGGCAGATTAGGGGCCTGGCAGCAGCTATGGGAGGCCCGTAATCTGCCAGCACCCTATGACAAAAAATGGAACACACCAGCAGTGTGAGGAGACCTGAAAGTGGCACATGTTTGGGGCATGATTCATGGCGGATTTAGTCAGTTGTGTCAGGAACTGGTGGTTTGAAATCCAGACTAATCCACGCCTGATTCATTTTCACAAACGTGAGTCTCTCCACACTTTGGGTGGACAGTCGTGTCCTCCGCGGAGTTGCAATACCTCCTGCCGCACTAAAACACGCGCTCCGATGCCACGCTACTGGCCGGGCATGACAGCCTTTCAAGGGCAAATTCAGCTAGTTGGGGCCAAAGGTCAAGTTTCGTTGCCCAGTAGTCAAGGGGATTGTCTACCTCGGTTGGCAGGGTGCTGTCCAAGTAGGCCTAAGCCTGTTGTTTGAGGTCCTGCTCCAGGTCCACCTGATGCTGCTTGGCTGCTGCTGCTGCTGCTGCTGGTTATTAGTTTCCTCACTGCGCTGGTGAAGAAAGCTACTCATCATCGACTGCAGACTGAGGCAGCCGCTGCTGGTGGAGCTGCCACTGCTCCTACTACCACCCCACCCCTCCCCTGCTGCCATGGCAGCGTAACGCGAGCGCACAGGGCCCACAGTGTCTGAGGATGGACGTTGGCGCAGACAGGCAGAGACCAGCTGACTACATAGGTGGTTTTTATAGTACGTTATTTTGGCCTCCCTCTCAGCAGGTGTGAAAAAGGCCACCATTTTTGAACGGTAGCGAGGGTCCAACAAGGTGGACAGCCAAAAGTCATCCCTCTGTCTGATGGTTATTATTCGGCTGTCGGTACGCAAGCAAGCGAGCATGCTATGGGCCATTTGTGCCAAGGAATGCGAGGGACTCCCTGCCTCCATCTCCACAGCATACTGCCACGGTGCGTCTGGGTCCTCTGTCTCCTCTTCCTCCTCCTCTACCAGATGCTCCTGCTCCTCCACTCCTGTCCGCTGAGTGGAAAAACCACCCATTTCACTCAATAATTCCTGAGCACCAATGTCCTCCTCTACCTCCTCCCTCTTCTTCCTGTCCTGCCCCCACAGGGGTCATGTGGCGTTGAGATCTGTGCGCCACGTCTACCGCACCCTGACCAGCCATTGTTAACAGCATTTGTTCCAGGACGTGCAACAGAGGAATGACGTCGTTCATCCCATAGTCCTGCCGACTCACGAATAGCGTGGCCTCCTCAAAGGGCCTGAGCAAGCGCAGGTGTCACGCATGAGCTGCCAATGGCTGACATCTAAGTTACACAGGGAGTACCTTTATCCGCTTTTAACATCAGGAAATCTGTGATGGCCTTTCGCTGTTCGTAAAGGCGGTCTAACATATGTAGGGTTGAATTCCACCTTGTTGCAACGTCACAGCATGAGGAGTCGGTACGGGGGCCCATGGCAGATTACGGGCCTGGCAGCAGCAATGGGAGGCCCGTAATCTGCCAGCACCCTATGTCAAAAAATTCAACACACCAGCAGTGTGTGGAGACCTGAAAGTGGCACATGGCAGAGTGTGGCGATGGAGACAGCAGCAATGGGAGGCCGTACAGGGACCCATGAGAGACTCTGGACCTGGCAGCAGCATGAGGAGGCGGTATAGGGGCCCATGGCAGATTAGGGGCCTGGCAGCAGCTATGGGAGGCCCGTAATCTGCCAGCACCCTATGTCACCAAAAATTGAACACACCAGCAGTGTGTGGCGATGGAGACCTGAAAGTGGCACAGGGCATGAGGCACTGTGGACCTGGCAGCAGCATGAGGAGGCGGTACAGGGGCCCATGGCAGATTAGGGGCCTGGCAGCAGCTATGGGAGGCCCGTAATCTGCCAGCACCCTATGACAAAAAATGGAACACACCAGCAGTGTGAGGAGACCTGAAAGTGGCACATGGCAGAGTGTGGCGATGGAGACAGCAGCAATGGGAGGCTGTACAGGGACCCATGAGACACTCTGGACCTGGCAGCAGCATGAGGAGGCGGTAAATAGGGGCCCATGGCAGATTAGGGGCCTGGCAGCAGCAATGGGAGGCCCGTAATCTGCCAGCACCCTATGACAAAAAATGGAACACACCAGCAGTGTGTGAGGAGACCTGAAAGTGGCACATGGCAGAGTGTGGCGATGGAGACAGCAGCAATGGGAGGCCGTACAGGGACCCATGAGAGACTCTGGACCTGGCAGCAGCATGAGGAGGCGGTACAGGGGCCCATGGCAGATTAGGGGCCTGGCAGCAGCTATGGGAGGCCCGTAATCTGCCAGCACCCTATGACAAAAAATGGAACCCACCAGCAGTGTGAGGAGACCTGAAAGTGGCACATGGCAGAGTGTGGCGATGGAGACAGCAGCAATGGGAGGCCGTACAGGGACCCATGAGAGACACTGGACCTGGCAGCAGCATGAGGAGGCGGTACGGGGGCCCATGGCAGATTAGGGGCCTGGCAGCAGCTAGGGAGGCCCGTAATCTGCCAGCACCCTATGACAAAAAATGGAACACACCAGCAGTGTGAGGAGACCTGAAAGTGGCACATGGCAGAGTGTGGCGATGGAGACAGCAGCAATGGGGAGGCCGTACAGGGACCCATGAGAGACTCTGGACCTGGCAGCAGCATGAGGAGGCGGTGTATAGGGGCCCATGGCAGATTAGGGGCCTGGCAGCAGCTATGGGAGGCCCGTAATCTGCCAGCACCCTATGACAAAAAATGGAACACACCAGCAGTGTGTGAGGAGACCTGAAAGTGGCACATGTTTGGGGCATGATTCATGGCGGATTTAGTCAGTTGTGTCAGGAACTGGTGGTTTGAAATCCAGACTAATCCACGCCTGATTCATTTTCACAAACGTGAGTCTCTCCACACTTTGGGTGGACAGTCGTGTCCTCCGCGGAGTTTACAATACCTCCTGCCGCACTAAACACGCGCTCCGATGCCACGCTACTGGCCGGGCATGACAGCCTTTCAAGGGCAAATTCAGCTAGTTGGGGCCAAAGGTCAAAGTTTCGTTGCCCAGTAGTCAAGGGGATTGTCTACCTCGGTTGGCAGGGTGTGCTGTCCAAGTAGGCCCAAGCCTGTTGTTTGAGGTCCTGCTCCAGGTCCACCTGATGCTGCTGCAGCTGCTGCTGCGGCTGGTTAGTAGTTTCCTCACTGCGCTGGTGAAGAAAGCTACTCATCATCGACTGCAGACTGAGGCAGAGCCGCTGCTGCTGGTGGAGCTGCCACTGCTCCTACCACCCCCCCACCCCTCCCCTGCTGCCATGGCAGCGGAACGCGAGCGCACAGGGGCCCACAGTGTCTGAGGATGGACGTTGGCGCACAAAGGCAGAGACCAACTGACTACATAGGTGGTTTTTTATAGTACGTTATTTTGGCCTCCCTCTCAGCAGGTGTGAAAAAGGCCACCATTTTTGAACGGTAGCGAGGGTCCAACAAGGTGGACAGCCAAAAGTCATCCCTCTGTCTGATGGTTATTATTCGGCTGGTGCGCTACGCAAGCAAGCGAGCATGCTATGGGCCATTTGTGCCAAGGAATGCGAGGGACTCCCTGCCTCCATCTCCACAGCATACTGCCACGGTGCGTCTGGGTCCTCTGTCTCCTCCTCCTCCTCCTCTACCAGATGCTCCTGCTCCTCCACTCCTGTCCGTCCGCTGAGTGGTAAAAACCACCCATTTCACTCAATAATTCCTGAGCACAAATGTCCTCCTCTACCTCCTCCTCTTCTTCCTGTCCTGCCCCCACAGGGTCATGTGGCGTTGAGATCTGTGCGCCACGTCTACCGCACCCTGACCAGCCATTGTTAACAGCATTTGTTCCAGGACGTGCAACAGAGGAATGACGTCGTTCATTCCCATAGTCCTGCCGACTCACGAATAGCGTGGCCTCCTCAAAGGGCCTGAGCAAGCGGCAGGTGTCACGCATGAGCTGCCAATGGCTGACATCGAAGTTACACAGGGGAGTACCTTTATCCGCTTGTAACATCAGGAAATCGTGATGGCCTTTCGCTGTTCTGTTGCAACTGCTCGTAAAGGCGGTCTAACCATGTGTAGGGTTGAATTCCACCTTGTTGCAACGTCGCAGATCAGGCGATGCTGTGGAATTCCGTTCTGCCGCTGCAGCTCAAGGAGGGTGTGCTTTGCGGTGTAGGAATGGCTGAAATGCATGCAAGGTTTACGTGACATTTTAAGGATGTCTTGCAGTGGGATGGTGGATTTTAGGAACCTGCTTGACAACCAGATTGAACACGTGAGCCATGCATGGCGCATGGCACAACCTTCCTTGACGCGCAGAGCAGACACCATGTTCTTTCCGTTGTCGGTCAACATGGTTCCGATTTTCAGTTTGCGCGGAGACAGCCATCTGTCGATTTCTCTGTTCATTACACTGGAGAAGTTCCTCCCCCTGTGTGACTACGTTCGCCTGGACCTGGCAGCAGCATGAGGAGGCACTATAGGGGCCCATGGCAGATTAGGGGCCTGGCAGCAGCTATGGGAGGCCCGTAATCTGCCAGCACCCTATGTCAAAAAATGGAACACACACCAGCAGTGTGTGAGGAGACCTGAAAGTGGCACATGGCAGAGTGTGGCGATGGAGACAGCAGCAATGGGAGGCCGTACAGGGACCCATGAGAGACTCTGGACTTCGCAGCAGCATGAGGAGGCGGTATAGGGGCCCATGGCAGATTAGGGGCCTGGCAGCAGCTATGGGAGGCCCGTAATCTGCCAGCACCCTATGTCAAAAAAATTGAACACACCAGCAGTGTGTGAGGATACCTGAAAGTGGCACATGGCAGAGTGTGGCGATGGAGACAGCAGCAATGGGAGGCCGTACAGGGACCCATGAGAGACTCTGGACTTCGGCAGCAGCATGAGGAGGCGGTATATAGGGGCCCATGGCAGATTAGGGGCCTGGCAGCAGCTATGGGAGGCCCGTAATCTGCCAGCACCCTATGTCAAAAAATGAACACACCCACAGTGTGTGAGGAGACCTGAAAGTGGCACATGCAGAGTGTGGCGATGGAGACAACCCACCGACTGTTTTTGCTCGCTCCAAGCTGCCACCCTCTTCTCCTGATGATGCGGAAGCAATAGCCTGATGACGACGAGGCTGCCAAGTGCGAACAGCCTCATCATCATCAATTAGGGTCTCCGCCTCACTACTAGCCCCCTCGGCTGCGTGTTGGGTCAGGAGACAGACCTGTCTCTAGACCGGCTACCGAGCCACTCTCCTCGCCCGATACTTCTTCGCCTGGCTGCTGAAGAGGCGGATGTCTCCCCCCGTTCCTGACCGCCTCTGTTAGCTCTTCCTCACTGTACTGGATGACACCTTAGGGAGCACTGCCTCTGGCTGCGAAAGTAAGTGGCTGCCTCGACCCCTCCTCTGCTGCCACGTCTGCTCGCTCCTAAAACATTGCCTCCTCTGCCACTCCTCTGCATGTTGTCTGACATACTCTTTAATTAAACGATTCTGTGTCACCTGAGTAACAATCTGTGTTCTGTCCCTGAGTAACAATTCTGTGTCCCTATAGTAATGCTGTTCTGTGGCCCTAAGTAACAGTTTCTGTGTCCCCTCAGTAACAATTTCTGTGTCCCTCAGTAACAATCTGTCCCTCAGTAACAATTCTGTGTCCCTCAGTAACATTCTACCTGTGTCCCTCAGTAACAATTCTGTGGCCCTACAGTAACAATTTCTGTGTCCCTCAGTAACAATTCTGTGGTCCCCTCTGAGTAACAATTCTGTGGCCCTCAGTAACAATTCTGTGGCCCCCTCAGTAACAATTCTGTGTACCCATAACAATTCTCTGTGTCCCTGAGTAACAATTCTGTGTCTGTCCCACAGTAACAATTCTGTGTCCCTGAGTAACGTTTCTGTGTCCCAGAGTAACAATTCAAGGGTTTCTGTGGCCCTGATAACAATTCTGTGTCCCTGAGTAACAATTCTGTGGCACCCCTAACAATTCTGTGGCCCTCAGAAACAATTCTGTGTGGCCCCAGTAACAATTCTGTGGCCCTCAGTAACACTGCTCTGTCTGTGCCCTCAGTAACAATTCTGTGTCCCTCAGTAACAATTCTGTGTCTGTCCCCCCTGAGAACAATTCTGTGGCCCAAGTAACGTTTTCGTGCCCTCAGTAACAAACGCTTCTGTGGCCCTAAGTAACAGTTTCTGTTGCCGCCCTCATAACAATTCTGTGTCCCTGAGTAACATTTCTGTGGCCCTCAGTAACAATTCTGTGGCCCTCAGTAACAATTCTGTGGCCCTCAGTAACAATTCTTCTGTCTGTCCCTAAGTAACAATTCTGTGGCCCTAAGTAACAATTCTGTGTGCCCTCAGTAACAATTCTGTGGCCCTCAGTAACAATTCTGTGGCCCTCAGTAACAATCTGTGTCTGTCCCTGAGTAACAATTCTGTGGCCCTAAGTAACGGTTCTGTGGCCCTCAGTAACAATTCTGTGTCCCTGATAACAATTCTGTGGCCCTAAGTAACGGTTCTGTGGCCCTCAGTAACAATTCATTTGGCACCTAAGTAAACAGTTTCTTTGCCCTCAGTAACAATTCTGTGTCCCTAGTAAATTTCCTGTGGCCCTCAGTAACAATTCTGTGTCCCTCAGTTGGTCAATTCTGTGTCCCCCTCAGTAACAATTCTGTGTCCCTCAGTAACAATTCTGTGTCTGTCCCTGAGTAACAATTCTGTGTCCCTGAGTAACAGTTTTTCTGTGGCCCTACAGTAACAATTCTGTGGCCCTCATAAACAATTCTGTGCCCTCAGTAACAATTCGTGTCCGTGTCCCTGAGTAACAATTCTGTGTCCCTAAAGTAACATTCGATTTCTGTTCCCTGAGTAACAATGTCTGTGCAGTCCCTGAGTAACACTTTCTGTGCCCTAAGTAACGGTTTCAGTGGCCCTCAGTAACAATTCTGTGTCCCTGAGTAACAATTCTGTAGGCCCTAAGTAACGGTTCTGTGGCCCTCAGTAACAATTCCTGTGGCCCTCAGTAACAATTCTGTTCTGTGGCTCAGTAAACAATTCTGTGGCCCTCAGTAACAATTCGTGGCCCTCCAGTAACAATTCTGGTGTCCCCTCAGTAACAATCTTCTGGTGGCCCTGTAAACATTATCTGTGGCCCTCAGTAACAATTTCTGTGGCCCTCAGTAACATATTTCTGTGGCCCTCAGTAACAGTTCAGTGGCCCTCAGTAACAATTCTGGTGTCTGTCCCTGAGTAACTAATTCTGTGGCCCTAAGTACACGCGGGTTCTGTGGCCCTCAGCTAACAATTCTGTGTCGTCCTGAGCTAACAATTCTGTCGGTCCCTACAGCTAACGGTTCTGTGGCCCCAGTAACAAATTCTGTGGCCCTCAATAACAATACTGTGTCTGTCCCTGAGTAACATTCCTCAGTGGCCCTAAGTAACGCTTCTGTGGCCCTCAGTAACAATTCTGTGTCCCTGAGTAACAATTCTGTGGCCCTCAGTAACAATTTCTGTGGGCCCTCCAGTAACTATTAATGTGTCCCTGATGAACCGTTTTTGTGAGCCCCTAAGTACCAGTTTTCTTCATTAGATGGCTAGGGCCCCCTCAGTAACAATTCTGTGTCTGTCCCCTGAGTAACAATTCTGTGGACCCTAACCTAATGTTTACGTGGCCCCTAAGTAACAGTTCTGTGGATCCCTCAGTAACAATTCTGTGTCCTGAGTAACAAGTTTTTTTTTTTTTCTGTCTGTGGCCCTCAGTAACAATTCCTGTTGCCCTCAGTAACAATTCTGGTCTGGTCCTGATAACAACTTTCTGTGGCCCTAAACTAACGTTTGCTGTGGCACTCCCTAAGTAATGATTCCTGTGGCCCTACAGTAACGTTTCTTTCTGTGTCCCTGAGTAACGTCTTCTCTGTTCCTAACGTAACGTTTCCTCTGTCACCTAAGATAACGTTTCTCTGTCCCTAATTCTAACGTTTTCTGTGGCCCTAACTCTGTCCCTAATACAGAGCGGTTCTGCCTTCCTCTTGGAATGAACTGGAGGCAACTGGAAGAATTTCTAATAATGGCCGCCCATTTAATAGCTCGAACCATATACACAGTGCTAGGCGCTCTGCTGGGGCTGTACTCTCGACGTGATTTAGCTAAATGCGATCACACTGTCAGTTTAATGCATTGCAATTAATGCGGTCAGCGCGCGCCTGGATGATCAGCGACGCCATCCCAGACAATCCCCGCTCCATCGCCCGCACATGTCCGCCGCCCATTTTAGGAAAAATGTTCGAGTCGCGCATACCGAAGTAGTGATAATTTTCTTTTGGATTCGGGCGCGAAAATTTTTCCAATATTCGAAACGAAATTTCCACTTCGCCTACTTCGATTCGCTCATCTCTAATTATGACTGACCAGGTAGGCATAAATTGAATGCAAAGCTTTCCTAGAGTTAGCACATGAATGGGGGAGCAAATAGATAATACTAGATCTAGCATAAGAGTACATGTGGGTGGGAGTAAAATTGAATAAATCTCTAGCTCCTAACATTATGTGCCCTCCAGAAAGTCTCAATCCACTGAAGCGTGTGTCTAAAATATTTGGTAAGATTTTTGACTTTTGGGAAGGCCTGGGAGGATGGTGATGAGATGAGCTTTGGTCCTAAAAGGGGGTTAAGCTTCCCAAATAAAATAACCTCCCACCAAGTAAACGAGGGGATAGAACACCCTATCAAGCAAGCATTTTGAAATTAAACGGGAAAAGAAGGATGCTTTAGCGCCGAATTTTGTTGCATAGCCATTAGCGATCGTAGTTCACGACCCGAGGGGGTGCCTTTAAAAATGATAAATCCTGGCGTCATCTAGGTCACGTGCCCGAGGGTTTTTTTTACTACAAACACATGGGAATAACATCCGTGCCCTGCTCGTCCCCCGGGG